AAACCGAGTCACTAAACTAATTTGCTTCCAATGAATGACTGCAACCAACCTGCAAGTCACTAAACAACGGAACCCGTGAAGCATGTATGGGATGAGAAGATAAACGAATCCAAAGTACCACATATAAGAAACTATGATCCCTTTAATGTCATAAAACTATGATCCCCTTAATGTCATATCCCTGTAATAAATACATGCTCTTCCTTTTTTGTCAAGGATATCCAAAAAGATGATAGAACCAACCAAACACAACCATGTAATTAAATTCAACAAGAAACTATCGAATGCCGATGCATAGCATGAATACCACGTAAGCATTGAACAACATAACCAATCCTAGAAGACTTGAGAGATAAACATGAACTAATATGAAACTGATAAACAAAAACACTCCCCCCTAAATATATGCAATCATGATGCAAATCCAAACACACATGATATGCAAGTTGTGAAGTTCAATCCGTTGTTTGATGATTGTCTCTCAGGCAAAGCTTTTCAGGATAAGTGTTGAATTATGCTTTACACAAGAGATAATAAAAATTTAAAACTAGAGGTTTAGTTCTCTTTGACTAGAGCAAGGTGGTCAGAACGAGTACTGAATCCAGTGGTTTTAGTGTGTGTGTGATTCAGAAACATGTAAGAGAATGCAATCAGGACTTTGTTCTTTCCTCTAACTTGTAAGAACCCACACTAAACCAATGATTAAGTGTTTGCTCACCGACATTGTTGCTCGGCCTGCATAAAATATATAACTGGAAAATTAAAAGTTGGACACCTTCTTGCCCAGTAGGAACCGTTCTCACAAAGTTTAGACGTTTTCATATCCTGGCTGTGTTCTCTTGTACCAGAAATTATGTGTAGCTTTTTCTACATCGTCTCATCTGATAAATTTTCTTATTCTTTTCATTACTTTTTCTTTGCTTTTCAAGACACACACTTGTGGCACTTTGAACATTCAACGGGAGCTTAGATTAATCACAAGCATGTGTGTCCCACGTTGTAAGAGTGACAATTAATTTCTGACTAGATCTCCACTAGTATTTGAAGGTGAACAAACAAATAGTTTGAATTGAAAGCTACACCAGTTTTAATAAACAAGTAACAAGTTTTGACTTTTGACATTAAAAACAAGTCCTTCGATAGCCCAAATGCAGCATTATTTATTGTAGACACAGCAACCAAGCATGCAATACACATTCAATCTTAAGTTCAAGAGAGTATCATGATGCAGGGATTGAAATCAACATGCAGCCCTAAGTAATGCAAAACCATTACAAATGCAGAAACATTTCTTTAAAAAGTGAACTCATGAATGAACAATTTTCTTTTACTGTTAAAAAATAAGATAAAACTCACATGATCCTAATACTACATGAGTATACATATGGTTAGAAAGCATTCAATCCATTGAATAATGAGAAGAAAAAGATGTGTGAGCAGTCAAGCATGTGTTATTGTCTTTTCTTCTCCAAACTAGTTTCCTTTAGAATCATGAAATTGAATAAGTCTTGAAATTCTACTAACCTCTTTGAGACGGCCCTTGCAAGGTTTCTCCTTTACCGATGCGGGATTTTTTTTGAAGACAGATATCTCTTGATTATTGGTTATTGTGTAATCAATGCCACATCAGCCAAAGTTGTTAGAATGTTTGTTAGGTAGTTAAATGGTTTGTTAGTTGGTTTATTAGTTACTTTTGGTTAAGTAAGCTTGTATTGTTTAGTATATAATGTATTTCAACTTACAAATCTAGTCAGTTGTTACTTTCCTCAAATATACAAAACTTTCATTTCTCTCTCTCAAGTTTCTCTCTCTAGTTCTTCATTTTCCTTCATCCTTTATTATTCTTTGATTCTTTCTCAATGTAGTTAACATGGTATCAGAGCAGGTTGTCCCACGTGTGAAACCAAACAGCCACATGTGATCTATGTCACCCTGCTGTGTTGTTCATGTGTTAAGCTTAAAAATTCGCCACACGTGAGGGGACGTGTTGAGAATGAGTCCCACATTGATGGGAGGAAAGACCTTGCATGGGCTTATAAGAGGTTGGGCTACTCCCCACGAAGGGTAATCCCGTAAGAAGTTGTTATACCGGCATAAGGTTGTGCTATGACTCCTTTATAAAAGGTTGTTCTTTGTGAAGCTCCTGTCAGAGGCAGAGGAATATTGGACTTTTGGATGTGTGCAGCATAGTTCTTTCCTAAGATCTTGGTCTATACGTTGTAGTGAGGCAGTGAATATATTTGGAGAAAAAGGGTATCATATTTGGTGTGGACAATTACTTTCACAGGTTACTGTACAATGTTGGATGACAATCTGTCTTTGGGAAGATTGTATGTGCAAAAATAATGTGTCATTGAAAGGATGATATAGGGTTCCCATCCTCATCATGGGATGGATTATCTTCATATCGCATCTTACTCATCTGGGTTGCCGCTGCCATGTTGTTGGGTGAAATTGGAAGAGGTCAGAGAGACACTGAGCTTTGCCTTCGTCGGCGTCTTAGTTGCAGGTGAACTTTGTCTTTGTCCTATATTCAAGATAGCAATTTAGCTCTGCTATTATCTCAACAACTTTCGGTCACTAGTCTTTATGTGCAGCATAATCAAGTTGGAAGGTGTTTACAACAGTAAGGTCACTTGCTACTAGCAGAAGTGTAGCTACCATAAAGTTTGGCAACCTATGCCATAGTTTTTCAAAATGGGCAGAAGTAAAAGCAGTTACCACAAGAGCATCATTGCATTTAATTGATAGAGGATCAGGTTGCTACAATCTCAGGCTTGGTAACCTAGCTGAGATTGAGGGGGAATGAAGATAGATGTCTCTTGATTATTGATTATTGTGTAATCAATGCCACATTAGCTAAAGTTGTTAGAATGTTTGTTAGGTAGTTAAATGATTTGTTAGTTGGTTAATTAGTTACTTGTGGTTAAGTAAGCTATGTTCATATATAATGTACTTCAACTTACAAATCTAGTCAGTTGTTATTTTCCTTAAATATACAAAACTTTCATTTCTCGTTTCTCTCTCTAGTTCTTCATTTTCTTTCATCCTTTATTGTTCTTTGATTCTTTCTCAATGTAGTTAACATTTTTTAACTTCACATCCTCATATGTCCATCATTTGTGGCGAAATTTCAAACCATACACCTAGACAATTCGAATTGGGCGACATGGACCATGTGTGGTGGTTGGATTTCACATGTGGCTGCAAGATTAATAGTTGCTTGGACATGAGATTCATGCATGGCTGCAAGAATAGCCAATGGTTTTGGAGTTGTGGGTGTTGAATATCTTGTTGAGAATAAATCTCAGACATTAAATTTTGAAGTCAAAACCACTTGACAGTTAAATTTTGATGCCTACGGGTAACCTTGTGCTTTTACCCTTTTATTTTGCCAGACATTATGTTGAAATAAAAGATCTAGCCTATTGAAGAAATTAATTTTTTCACTAAAGTGGAAAGGTTTGAATTTTCCAGGATACAAATAGGGTATTGTTATGGAAACTAAATTTTATAAACCAAATGATGTAATTGTTGATAATTGGATTATGAGTAATGCTAGATAGACTAAATTTGTAGACTACATGATGTGTCACCAATAAAAAATAAGCATGTTAATCAACACTTAAGTAATAATCCAATCATTGACTTCTATATCATTTAACTTACAAAAAATTTATCTACAAATTTAATCTCTCTAGCATTACCCTTGGATTATTACTTAAGTGGGGATTAATGTGCATATTTATTTTCTATTGGTGACATCATTTGGTTTAAAAATTGAGTAATGCTAGGGAGACTAAATTTGCAAACTAAATGATGTGTAACCGATAGGAATAAGCGCGTTTATCAATGTTTAAGTAATCAACCAATCATCAACTTCCATGTCCTTTAGTTTTCAAAACTTTGTCTCCAAATTTAGTCTCCCTAGCATTACCCTTAAAAATTTGGTCTACCTAGCATTAGCCATACAAATATATTATCCGAACTGATTTTCAAATAAACAAGGATGTCTTGCTAGGGTTGGCCCAAATGTGGGTAAACATAAGGAACCTTACTATATATTGGGTCAAAATAACATGTGTCAAATGTTTTTATTTATTTATTATTATTATTGAAAAGGGTACGATCTTCTTTAAAGAAGGTGGTAAATGTTTGACCTCTTATATTGTTACTGAAATAAAATTGCACAAGGATGCATTGAGGTGACGATGGCATTCACCTTGTAGTTCATCAAAATTAATTAGAGTTTGCTAAAGCATTGTCCTATATAAGGCGACTTTAGTACATTAATATTGCACGAGTTGCAAACCTTAATAATATTAATGGAGGATATAATTTGTTATTACTGTTGAATAATAAGAAAACGCGTTAATCTAGAATATAAGAGTATGTTACACATAAAACAGAGAAAATGAATTCACCAAAAAAAAGAGAGCATTCTTAATTTTTGTAATGTGGGTTTTTTAATTGTTAGTACTTGATTTTTGTAATGTGGATTTTTTTAGTTGTTAGTGTGATTTTCTCTCGTGTTTGTTTTTCATGGTTTTTCTTGTGATTGTGCATGCATGGTTTGACGTACTATTGCAGTTTAGTCAATGAAATTTATGTCTTTCGCTAAAAAAACCTTAATGTATTCCTTTGGATTCAAATTAGCAAAAAGATATACTATAATTTGCAGAACTTCACAAAGACAGTTACGTTTTAACTCTAAAGTTCAACACTTGCCCAAGGGATCCATCACAAGTTTAGACCAACAATTGTCTAGACCAAAAACTTAATTTGGTTACGTAGGTAGCTTGTATATCATTTTAATTATTGCACATAATATATATATATATATATATATATTTTTTTTTGCAATATGTAACCAAACAGTTGTGATTATTATTTATAGCAAATAGATCAGTACAAACTGAGCAAATAAATCATGAAGCAAATTAACCTTCTACAACAACACTGAAAGAAAAACATTATGTGTTATTTATCTTGTTTACTAATTAAAGAGGTGGAATACTTTGTTCATGCTTGAAAAAATTCTGAGGATCAGCCACACTTTTCACACGCACCAACCTCTCAAAATTACCTTTATAATACGCGCTTCCATAAAGCTTAGCGGTTTCAAGGTTTGTCTGATTACGCAGATTCGCAGCAATGTGCAGATCCCTGTAGTTTTGTAATGCCTCTCTTGGGCTCTTGGAAACAAATGGAGTGGTAGTTTCGTACAATTTTCTTGACACGTTTAGGTGCCGATTATTAGCCTCAATCCCTTCTTCCAACCAATACGTCCAGTACTGGATCATAAATAGGTTTCCAGCTCTGTGAGGGAATGGAGTGTCAGACTCAGAAATCTCACTCATTCTTCCTCCATAAGGGTTCCATTGCATGTGAGTTGTCCCTATATCAATCATCATCTTCCATATGGATTCCAAGCCTTCTTTTGGAATAGGTTCCTTCACATAATCCGATTTGCCTTTGAAGAAGAATGGCGGAGGCTTATTTGGCCTGCTAAGTAGAGCATTTATGGGGGTTCCAAGTGGGTATTCAGCAAAAAACAAAGTAGATTCTACCCAACTCATTTCAAGGCAGTCCGTTCGTTGTAAACCCAATTCAGGAAAGCTCTCATTTATCAATGAAAGAAGCTGGTCTGTTTGCCCTAAGAACTGACCAAAGAATGTAACTTGCCCAGTCTTATTATTCTTGCCTTCTTGGCTAGTACTATTAGTAATAGTATTAATGACTTTTGAAGTTGCTCTGATGAAGATCTCTTTAGGCAGCTTAGGTACAACATGTTGCCACTGATAAAGAACATTGATAGCGCCTTCTTCCAAGGTCTTTTGAACTTTGAACACAGTCACATTGGCAGGAACTGTAACCAACTTGATCTTCCATGACAGAATAACTCCAAAGCTCGCTCCACCACCTCCTCTAATGGCCCAAAACAGATCTTCTCCCATTGACTTTCTATCAAGAATTGTACCATTCACATTAACTATTTTGGCATCTTCAATGTTATCCGTTGCAAGGCCATATTTTCTCATCATAGGTCCATACCCGCCACCACTAAAGTGGCCACCAGTAGCAACAGTTGGACAAACTCCACCAGGAAATCCAAAAGCCTTGCTTTTCTCAGCAATTTTGAAATAAAGTTCGCCTATAATAGCCCCAGCCTGAACCCAAGCGCTCTCATCCGTGACATTAATGTCAATGGATCGGAGATTAAACATGTCAAGAACAATATAGGGGACATTTGGTATGTAAGATATGAAGGATAGGCCCTCATAGTCATGCCCACCACTCCGAATCCTAATATGCACCCCATGTTGTTGTGCACAGATGACAGTAGCTTGGACATGAGATTGATGCTTGGCTGCAACAATAGCCAAAGGTTGTGAAGTTGTGGTTGTAGAATGTCTGAGGTTTCTAATGTATGCCAGCAAAACAGACGGAAAAGTGGTATTCTCACGGGTGTAAATGGCTTCTGAAATTGGAAAGGAGGATTGAGAGTGTTTTGGAAGGCAGTGGAAAAAATCGCCGAGAGATGAATCGGAAGTTGCCCATGATATTGAGAGCGCAAAGACACAGAGAATAAAGATTAGTGGACAGGTTTGTAGCTTCATCCTTTTGTAGGGGATGTTCCTTCTACAGAGTTAATTAGGGTGTGGCTCTTCCTGATCACTTCTACTATTTATATAAATATAAAATGCGCGCTAAATTTAATTTCGTGCATGAACATTGCATTTGCATTCCACACATTTCTATTATTGTCGTTAATTATAAAGTAGTCATTTAAATTTTTAATGCTACATTGCATCCAACAGATTCAAAAATTTTGGTAAAATTAATTTAATCAAGAAAAAAATCGGATATTTTAACATAAAGAATTGTTGGGTTTTTCTAACCCATGATGAGTTGTTCTAAGTTTATTAGAATTATAGTTTACTGGATTAAATTGTTTACCCAATTGGTTTTGTTTCCCAATTGAATTTGTTTACCCAATTTAAATTGTTTCTCAACTAGAGTTAGTTTCTTAATTGAAGAAGGATTCATAGCTAGATTCCAATTAGGATTTTTTATCGGATGTCCTTGAAGGGACAGATTTCAATTAGGATTAACAATCCTTATTGAAGAAGACGTTTACTATATCTTAAATTGGAGCAAAACAATAAATTGTATACCACTCAAGGAGTCAAAGTGAGATAAGGCGGCAAAGTGCGTGCGAGAGAAAAGAAAAAAGATATAAGAGTATATTTCTTGTTCTTGTTCTTTCAAGTTACTCGTCAAGTCTTAATCCTAGAGGCTTGGCAAGATTATCTGTTGTACTCATTATCAATAGTGAAATATTATTGTTGTTGCCCAGTGGACGTAGGCACACATTTCGCTCAACCATATCAAGTTTTGGTGTTATTTATCTTGGTTATTTTGTGTTCGATTTCTCGAGTTTGTTATGCTTTTCCCATTCTTAAATGCGATATTCAGAACGAGAATATCATCTAACTTTACGATAGATTGGAGGGTCCTAAGACTCTATATTTTTTAGTCATCTTCACTTTGAAACACGGAGAAGTGAGTGCAAGTTGTTCCCATTTTCCAAACAGTAAAACCTCAGTTCCTCATCTACCAGATCAGCTCCTTCTGTATTTTGTGAGAAACTCTAGAATTAATTTTGTCGAAGGAGACTATTAGAAGGGGATTGAGATGTTGAAATGACTTATTTTGGATGGAAACTTAACATAATTAAGGTGAGATGACAAATTAATGATTCGAAAAGTTAGTATGACAAATAGCTTAAAATTTTAATTCATATGACACATTGAAAAAAAAAAAAAAAAAAAAAAGTGTATAAGTCATAACTAAGTTGAATGAAGCTTTACAAAATATAAGGATTTGTAGAAGTGAAGAACACAATAAAAAGAATAAGCCCTGAAAGATGAAGATGATCGAGAGAAGGAAGGAGAGAGAAAAAAATGGATTTGAAATTCTCATTAATTGAACAAGATCAATCCAACAGTACATATATGGACAATAGTAACCACCAAGCTTATGTGACAAGTATATTCAATCCACATCACTACAACATGACATTCTTATGTCATAACTCAATGTGCTAATGGCACATGGACCACTAAAGTAATGACGCATGGACCACTAAACTAATGACACATGGACATTAATATATTGTTATTAATAAATTCATGTGACATTTCAAAAATTAAAAAAGGTAATTAAAATCGTAAATAGTCTGAAGTTGGTAAGAATAATGTGTTCCATATTTGTATTCATGTTTGAGTTTTCCTCTCATAATTTACGTTAGAGTAGAACAAGGTTCTAAAAAATGTTAGGCACTAGTCGGGCGGCAGATTGGGGCCTAGCGCCTAGGTGGATCATAGCAATAAAATAATAACTTTATACATTTTGAATAATTAGTAATTTAAATTAATTTAATTCATAGGCATAAAATAATAAGTCAAGACATTTTAAATGATTAGTATTTAATTTTGAAAAATAAAAATTAAAAACCCCACGTAATGGGTTGTGGTTCTTTAAAATTTTAAAATCAAAGGCTTGTTTTGTTAAAAAAAAAAAAAAAAAAAAAAAAAAAAAAAACAAAAATCAGCTTGATGAGGTGTGTCCCTATTTTATAAAAATTGACACGTGTGAGGTGTGACCCCTCCCCTTCACCCCACCCTTCTCACATCAGGCAGAATTTTCAAAACGGTGTGCCATTTTATGCCTTGGAGAGCACACAACATTTTTTTTTTGGTTTTTCCCTTCCTCTTCTTCCTTGGAAAGCGGAAAGCATTATGACTTTGGATTTTTTTTTTTTTCCTTTTTTTATTCTTCTTCTCCTCCTATTACTCATCTTCTTTTTCTTTTCCGTTTCCTCTTCTTCTGTTTTGCTCTGTAATTCCCCTTCTTCGATGGAGTGTAGAGAGAAAGGGAGCCACGACGGCGAGAGAGAGAAGGTCGTGGTGCAGAGAGGGAGTTGAAGCCGAGATAGTGTTTTCAATTCTGGGTTTTATTTGAACTTCCTTCCCAAAATCCCTTCACTCCTCCGCCTAAATCACCGCCTAGACTGCCTAGACCGCCTAGGCCGTCTAGGAGCGCCTAGGCGGGCGACTTAGAGGTCCCCAATTTTGCCTAACGATTTGGACCGAAACGCATCGGCACAACGACACCCAGCGCCTAGGCCGAGTTTTAGAACACTGGAGTAGAATACCTTGTTTTTTTGCTAAGCTTGTCATTTTTTGGCATCTAGGGTAACATTTAAAGTTGTACAGTACCTGTAGACATTTGATTAATAGTATAGTAGAACCTTTTAACATTTTCTTATCGTAGTAGGTTTTGGATTTTGATTTTAATTTTATCTATTTAAGGTCTTTTTAGTTAAAATGGTTTATAATATTGGCATAACTCTTTATTTTGGTTTCTAAAATTTAAAATCGATAAAACTAACCCTTGAATTTGTCCACCGTCAATCATTTTTGTTCTTTTGTGAAAAATTTATGTTAAAGAATGAGAAAATAACAAATATACCCCCAATTTTATCAAATCATTTTGGATATTGCTTATTAGATTGAGGATATTTTTGTCACTTTGGTCCTTTTTCAATAGAGATTTTTCACGGAAATACCAAAAGATTGACGGTGGGCAAACTTAGGGATCACTTCTATCACTTTCAATTCTCAATGATTAAAATGAAGAGTTATGCCAATATCAAAAATTATTTTGGCTAAAATATCATTATTTAAATAAGGGCAAAGTTGAAAGTTTGATGGAAAATTATTGAGTTCAAATAAAAGTTTGAAGATACAATTATTGAGTTCAAATAAAAGTTTTTTAAATCAAATATTGAAAATCCAAGACGAAAAGACAAAAAAAGTCCAAAACGAAATTTTTGGATGACATTGGTTGCTCCTTCAAAGCAAACTCAATAGCAGTGATGAGCTGTTCAAAATAACAGATCAAAAAATGACTTGTCGAAAATATCAAAAGGGAAGGGATGCCTCCCAACATGATCCTCTTCGGATACTTTTGGTGAGGATCTTGGAGATCTGTAAATCATATCCGTTTATCGTGCATCGTACATGCAATTTTTATTAGATACTGTTTGTATTTAATTTTAAATAAAAATATTTAAAATAATTTTTTATCGCATGATGTACAATGAACGGATATGATTCACGGATTTCCAAAATCTTCACAAAGAGAATCCGACGAGGATTCGGATTCTGATGCCTTTGCTCCAAGTAATGGTTTATGTACAGTCGACTTAAGTAGTGTTTGAGTTTGCCTAGGCGAAACTTCCAAATGTTAAGAAAATGGGTGCAGTGCAGTTAAGAGTAGGATTCTCTCCCCCCATATTCTCATCCACTTCCCTCCCCTCCTCTCACATATTATTTTTTTGTCTTATTGTCTCTATAAAAAAATTAATATAAGATGTTGATGTGGCTAAACCGTAACTGTTCAAATAGGAGGGGAGGGAAGGAGAGAGAGAATCCTCATCCGTGCAGTTGGTAGTATATTCAATCTCTATTGCCCTTAATAAACACGAGGTTACCCTCTTTGATTGGAAACTTCTATCATTATGAGTAAATTATAGCAATGGTCCCTCAATTTTAATCAAATTGGAGCAATGGTCCCTCAACTAAAAATCTATTATTATTGGTCCATCAATTCATCAAAATGTGTAGCTATGGTCATTTTCGCCAACTTCGCTAGAATTTTGCCAAAATAAGTTATGTTGTAATAACCATTGCAACAATTGGGGTTCCTTAACTCATCAAAACGTGTAGTTAAGGTCCTTTTCGTCAACTTCGTCAAATTTTGTCAAAATGAGTTATGTTGAAAGGACCATTGCTACAATTAGATTGAAGTTAAGGGACCATTGCTCTAATTGGGTTAAAGTTGAGGGACCATTTCTCCAGTTAGATTAAAGTTGACAGACCAATGGTAATGGATTTTTAGTTGAGGGACCATAGCTACACGTTTTGATGAGTTGAGGGACCAATGGTAATGAATTTTTAGTTGAGGGATCATTGCTACAATTTACTCTTTTTGTGAACATTTTAATATACTTAATAAACACGGCATTTTGGTCGTTGTATTTTTGTATATATTAAATAGGGTTTTTATTACAAATGATTTCTAAAATTGACTTTCACCACCATGATGATCCTTAAAATTGAAAATCAATCAATGTAGTCCCTGAAAATAGGTGTCGCAAATTAATGTGGTCATTCCGTCACAATTCTGTTAAAAATTCAATTAAGTGTTGATATGGTACATAAATGGGCCCCATAAGTCTTTTGTTTTTTCTCACAAATATTCCTTAAAATTAACCCACAACATCAAAATGGTCCCTAAAATTGACTCGCGACATTAAGATGGTCCTTGAAATTGAAAATTGATCAATGTAGTCCCGCAAGTAAGTATCTCAAATCAATGTAGTCCTTCCATCACAATTGTACCAAAAATTCTGTTATGTGCTATTGTGACACATAAATAGGTCACAAAAGTCTAATTAAATATAAAAAATTACAAATAGGCTTAATAATTTAATAAAATAAAAAATTTGACAACCCAAAAACTCAGTCCTGCAATCATCTCTGATCCAGTGCACATTTCTCTACCTTATTCGCTTTCTATTATCTAAAAAAATATCTCAATACACCAATATTTACACGCTTCGACACCCTTCACCCAATTGAACCTAGATCGAGATCACCTTTGGTGACAACTTGGCCCATTGGCAATGACTTATGAGACATCACCATTAACATTTATGCCATCAACATCCTCACAACCTTAATCTTGGAGAGCTTGTTCGACGCTACCTTGGTGATCTAGTGATGCAAAGAACGTGGAGGTCTGCCTTGAGATAATGAGGTTATAACCGATGTGCATCTATTGTTGGTTGAAAACTATTTCCACACCCCCTCTTAGGCCTTGGATAAGCCTTGTGCATTTGAGAATTTATGGAAATGATATCTCTTCGGAGGCCCTACTATAAGAAAAAAATTTCATTGTGCAAAAAGGTATTTAGACAACTTTTTTAAATTAATTATTAAACCCACATCAGCACATAACAAATTTTTTTATAGAATTATAGTGGAAGGATCATATTGATTTGCGACACCTATTTTCAAGGACTATATTGATTAATTTTCAATTTCAAGGATCATCTTAATGGTGTGGGTCAATTTCAAGGACCATCTTGATGGTGTTGGTCAATTTTTAGGGACCATTTGTGATAAAAACTCATAAATCTTGTAGGGCCTATTTATATGCCACATCAACATTTAACGGAATTTTTAATAGAATTGTGACGGAATGACCATATTGATTTGCAATACCTATTTTCAGGGACTACATTGATTGATTTTTAATTTCAGACCATCTTGATGGTGATGGTCAATTTCAGGGACTATTTGTGATAAAACCCTATTAAATATTTACACTAAGAGGGTGTGGTAGTAAATTGGTTGTGAACTTGTCATCCACGGCCTATTGGTATTCATCTTCACTTGTAAGTAAAACATCTTAGATTCGATTCTCGCTAAAAATGAAATTGAACCACCCCTTTTTTTTTTTTTTTTAATGGAAACAGTTGAACCCCATTTTGAAAAGCCATATTCGTTCCCCACTGACACTCTCTCTTTTCCTTAAACATATAACCAACCACAATATGTGCTGCCTTGTTACTCGGAAGAGGGAGAGAAGTTGAATACAACAAACCTCAAATGGGAAGCTAACACTCTATTGTCATTAATGATTCCTTCCAACAGACACCTCTGTAATCTTCGCATAATATCATATCCACCACTGCTTTTGCATCAGTCTCAACCTCCACCATCTCGAAGCTCTTTTCCGCACTTGGTATCAAACCTGGACATAGCGGCTCCTCCACCGCCTCGGCTTCTGCCATGATACTAGACATGCAATGGGAATCACTAGCGCCACCTGCTACCTTAAAAACCCGGCCATGAACGCACCACCCAACCCCAACCTTAGTATTTGATTTCGAATAACATGTGCCATTGCAGTTAAGCTTAAGACAACACTTATCTCTGGTGGCCTCCAACCAAACCTCACATCTATGTAATTGATGAGCAAACAAAAAGCATTTGCAAATTCACATCTTTTTAGATGTTTGACCTGCGCCTCCTTCCCCTCAACACACACTACAACCACCCTTTCTTCAGCGCCACTCGACCCCCCTTTTCCATGCCGTTTGAACAAATCATTCATTTCCAAGCTCTGCCAATTCATAACAACTCTTAACCATATAAATCTCATGATGAATATAATGCTAAATGATCTTATGCAGTCCACACATGCATAGTGACTCAAGGATAAGTAACCCAAGAATTATGTTGGCATCTTGTCGATCAAAACACTGTTTAACAACCTCCTCCCTCCAACAACCAGCTTCCACATCAATTATCTCTTCCACTTATGAGGTATATCCGGATGATGAGAAAAAGGTTTAAAAGAAGGCGGCACAGGCACCCATGGGTCTTCCTTCACTTGCACTAACACACTATTACCAATACTCCATCTCAGTCCTGCACGAAGAACTTGACTTCCTTGTATTATCCCTTTTCAGCCCCAAGACGACGTACATGGTACACCCAGCCGTTGCCTCCAAAAATATACCCTCAGGGAAGTACTTATATTGTTGGAGTCTTAATTGCTTCTGATCCTAATAAAGCTTTGAACAAGAAAATTTCATTTGAGAGTATTTGAACAAGCCGTTGCCTCCAAAACCAACAGTTAAGCATCTGAGAGTATTTGGCTCAGTAAGCTATACTCATGTGCCCTCACAATTAAGACACAAATTGGAGAAATCCAGTAGCAAGAACATTTTTGTAGGAAACGTACAGCGATGTGAATCCCTCCGCACAAACATGTATTAGAAAATATAAGAAAAATCGAGAGTCCCCACCTGCACACTCTCAAGGATGGCACCCAGCTAATCTGCTATAACTTGCTATTTAGAATGAAGTTGGATAGAAGCAACTTGGAAGTATGATATTATTGAAATATTGTGGTTATTCAGGGCTTAAAGATTGAGTCCAACATACATATCAGTAACATTTATCAAATTAATGATGTGGAGAGCAACAAACTGTGTGATGAGCTTCCTGTTCTTTTCTTGTGCTTTTTTAAAGGGAGTAGGATGCTCTCCCGTCTTAATCTCTCTCCTCTTCCATCTCCTCCTATTTAAATGGTTGCGAAGCTAGGAAATGTTGAGGGGAGGGGCAAAATTTAAAAGCGTAAAAAGTTTCAAAAAAATGTAGTTAGTCTTTTAGATAGCAGACAATATTAATGTCATTCATAATTTATCAATACAAACAAGTTACATGAAAACATTCCATAATAAGCTCATTATTAGTAAAAACAAAAACATATCTCTTAATGCAAACAACCAAACTATCATTCAACCATTGATCTCCTATTTTGTTACGCGATGATGTTTTGACAATATTCATAGCAAAAAACGTTCCCTCCACCCAAGCCAATGTAAGAAGCTTATATACTAACTTGTAGCTTTCACATCTCCTAGTCTTCACCAATTCCTTTGAAAAATCACTAATTTCTTTTAATGATGAAAACTCATAGTGCATATTCAAATCATGAATGCAACTATCAAGTTGAATTAGAAGATTCTGAGGTGCACATGATTAAAATCTTGAGGATAAAGTTGGGAGAAATGATCTACTTTTTATTGGTCAAAAGATGCATAATTATTCACCAGGTTCAAACATGTCATACAAAAGAAGCAATTCAATATTTACCTCATTAAAGCAATCATTCAATTCTTTAAGTTGCATATAAAGGAAAATAGAGGTCCACACGATAGTAATTGAAGTTTGTGAGCCTTGGAGCTTCATGCTTTAATTTTCCGGGTACGAAATGCCAGTCCATCATGTTAGGAACATTAATATCATTCTCACAAAACTTTTGTTCATTGGGAAACAAGTCCTCAAAATCATAATCTCTCAAGGATTAAAAGAAAATAAGATGAAATAATTTTAAATTCTGAAAATAATAGCAAGAATAAAAAAGGAACAATAACAAACATCAACTTATTAATTGTTGCTCTTTAGTCTAAACAAATGAGATAAAGGGAAGAGAATTGAAATGGTGGGCTGGTTTCTTTGGGCAAGAATGTTTAATCAACTAAACCAACGGTAATGCGGTTGGAAAGGAAGCCCACATCAATAAATTAAAAAATAAAAAAGAAACTAAAAGGAACCCACCAATCCACACCGTTTCATTAAAGGGAACAGAGCTTTATAAACAATAGCATATGACGATGTCGTTTGGTTTTTAAACAACATTAGGTCGTCTTCTTCCTTGAAAACATTAAAACCCAACAGAGCATTGCAGCGCACCAGCCCAAATACCAGCAGGTTTAGAAGATCGGAGGGGCGGAACCCTCACTCTCAGTGGAGATTTCCGACGACCGGAGGGGCGGCAGCCCCTCCTTGCGCCTCTGTAGCTTCGCCAACGTCTACATCTTGTTTTGAATTTTTTATATAGAAAATAAGACAAAAAGAAGAGCGTGAGAGAAGGGGATGGAAGGGGATGGTAATATGAGGGGAGAGAATCCTACTCCTTTTAAAGGGGCGGGATGCTTTGCTCATGGTTAAAAAAATTCTGAGGATCAACCGCAGTTTTTACACGTACGAGTCTATCAAAATTGCATCTGAAGTACTTTCTCCCAAAAACCTCAGCAGTCTGAAAGCTAGTTTTGTTAGGCAGATTGGCGCCAATGTCTAGATCCCTGTAATTTTGGAAGGCCTCTCTTGGGCTCTTGGAGACAAATGGAGCCATTCCTTCATATAATTTTCTTGACAAGTCAATGTACTTGTTGGCGATCTCGGACCCTTCTTCCGACCAATGAATCCAGTAGTGAATTAAAAAAAGGTTTCCAGCCCTGTGAGGGTGTTGGAAATTCAAATAAAAACAGGCTGTAAAAGGTTGCTTCTAGCTGTTAGTTTCTTTATAGGTTGTATCCACACATGCTGCAACTACAAAGACTAAAGTTTCCTCCATGTGCTAGCTGAAATGGTGATGAAAGACAGCAAGTGTGCTGCCATGTGATGTGCTAGCAGGAAGACAGCAGTGTGCTGCTGTGTATTAGCCGAAAGAGTGTTGATTGCAAGCTGGAAAGATAGCTGCATATGTGTGCTAGACTGTCCAAAGTTCTTGCATGTGTTTTAAAGGGTGTAAAGATGTTAAACACCCCATTCATTGCATGTGTTGTTGCATTGTTTATCAATTTCTGTTTTGTATAAATAGGCCATCTTGCTAAGCTTTATTGCATACCATCCAAATCCCATTTCCATTCTCATTTTCAGCTTGTAAGCTTTAAAAGTTGTAAACTCTTCTAATATTTCAAAGTGTTTGTTATCACCAAGCTTGCTACTTCTTTCATATATCAAAGTCCAAGTGTTTTACCAAAGCTTGTTGCTTCCCTCCTTTCTCTATTTCTTTGTCCAATTTTATTGAGAGTGAAAGTGAGAGGTGTGATAGAGTTTGTAAACTTATCACCCACATATTTTGGTATTGAGTTAGTAAACTCTTGTGAATACCAACAGAGGGAACGGAGTGTCTGACTCGGAAAACTGACTCATTCTTCCACCGTAAGGGTTCCATTGCAGCATCACTTTCTCTACTTCAAGCATCATCTGCCACAAGAATTCTAATCCTTGTTTTGGAATTGGCTCTTTTATATAGTCAGACTTAACTTTGAAGAAAAATCCAGATCCGTTTGGCCGTTCAAGTAGAACATTTATGGGAGTTCCAACAGGGTAGTTACCCCAGAATACAGTCGATTCGATCCAACTCATTTGAACACAATCTTTTTGCTGTAAACCCAGTTCTGGGAAACTTTCATTCATCAATGGAAGAAGCTTGTCACTTTGACCCAAGAAAAGACCAATGAATGATACTTTCACGGTCTTTTTGCCTTTATTCGAAATCACTAGCGGTTGTGCTCTGATGAAAACATCGTCAGGCAGCTTCGGTGCTACGTATTGCCACTTATAAGCAACATCTGTAGCACCTTGCTCTAAAGTCCTCTCAACATTGAACACAGTCACTTTAGCTGGAACTGGAGCCAACTTGATTTTCCAAGACAAAATGACTCCAAAGCTTGCTCCACCTCCTCCTCTAATGGCCCAAAAAAGATCATCTCCCATTGACTTTCTATCAAGAATTGTTCCGTTCACATTGACTAGTTTTGCATCTTCAATATTATCCACGGTAAGCCCATATTTTCTCATCATAGGTCCGTACCCGCCGCCACTGAAGTGGCCACCGGCACCAACAGTTAGACAAGCTCCAGCTGGAAACCCATGAACCTTACTTTTATTGGCGATTTCATAATAAAGTTCACCAAGAGTAGCCCCAGATTGCACCCAAGCGCTCTCATTTGCAAGATTAACATCAATGGCTCGAAGATTGAACATGTCAAGAATGACAAAGGGAACAGCAGACGCGTATGACAGACCCTCATAATCATGGCCACCACTACGGACTCTAATCTGAAGCCCGTGTTGTTTCACACAAATCACGGTTGCTTGCACATGTGATTCATGTTTGGCGGCTACAATAGCCAAAGGTTTTGGGGTTGTTGGGGTCAAGAATCTGCTGTTTCTAATGTAATGTTGCAAAACGGACTGAAATGAAGTGTTGTCATGGGTGAAGATGGCTTCGAAGATTGGGTAGGTGGGCTGAGATTGTTTTGGAAGACATTGGAGGAAGCCAGTGAAAACTGGATCTGAAGTTGCCCATGGTAGTAAACACGAAAGGACAGAGTGGATGGAGACTGCTAATGCAATAGAACTGGGTAACTTCATCGTTTGGTTAGTAGCAACTTTCTCTACTATAAGTTTTTACTTTCTTCTTGATCACTTATTGTTGTATTTATACTACAATTATATCAGAGCATTAGACTTCTTCTACGGTACATGCATCCAACACATTTGGATTTTATGGTAAAAATAAAAAGGAATTAAACATTTATAGTTTGGTACATTGAATAGAAGACGTTTGCATTTTACACATCTGATTCAACTAAGCAAAAATTTATATATGACAAAAAATCGTTGAGATACAACAAAAATAAGACCCATATGATTAATATGGTTATGTTGCGCGAAAAAAAAAAAGGGGATTAATATGGCAATTATTATGTAGCAAAAAAGTTAATCTAGCTAATTAAGATGGATAGATATATTTCCGAATGAAGTATTTTCCCTTGTACTACCCAGCTTTACAATGAAGTATTTTTAATAATTTAATAATTTAATACAATGAAGTATTATTGTATAAGAGCACTAGCTCTGTGAATGAAAGGGTCAGAACGAATTTTACAAACAGAAATACAAACCAAAAAATATATTGGAGCCCTGCTCCCTTCTACTTCATCTTCTCCATTGCCATTTTATTGCAGCTTGTAGGTTGAATAGGGTCCGGAGATTTGTGATCCCATCATGGTGGCGTCACTGCTATGTATGGTTGTCGCTGGTGTTCACCACTGTCCCTTGAGGCATAGCTGATCAAGGTTGCTGCTTCTACCTCCGGCGTCCCATCGCTGCTCATCTCTACATCCTAATTCCAGTCACCCCCAGCACTTCAGATAAATTTCCAGGTTCTTTGGTGTTAGGGTTTAGGACTAATCCTTAATGGGGGCCGAAAAAGCTAAAAACATTTCAACTCACTCCTGACCATAATCAAATGGCACACATCCTCCCAAAGCTTCAACTAGAGAATCATTCGTGTTTTTGCCAGCTTCGTGCCTCAAACCCAAGGCCAAAGAGCCTATTTGACATGAAATTCCACTAGACCACTTGCCGGAGGTACCTAAATACAGTGTAAATCGACTCAGTGGAACCCATACGGTGGGTTTGATTTACGCTTAAGTACGGCATTTATATAAACTTATTTATACATATGCATATATTACAGTGATTTTAACTGTATTGTCTTGTGTTGTGCATCATTAGACAACAAACAAATCCACATATATCGAAACAATTAGGAATAATTATTGAGAAAGCCCAATTGTTCTGACAAATTTTTTCACGACTTTCAAAAGAAACTGAGAATAACACATTCAAGGCAATATCGAAAGAAGGAAATTGGGGCATACAATTAGTTCCATATCCTTTATTCTCAGTCTTGTATCTCCCTCTCTAAAGAGGCGGGATGCTTTGCTCATGCTTGAAGAAATTTTGGGGATCAACCGCAGTTTTTACACGTACCAATCTTTCAAAATTTCCCTTGAAATACTTTCTTCCATAAACTTTAGCAGTTTCAAAGTTTGTCTGATTGTCCAGATTGGCGCCAATATCAATATCCCTGTAATTTTGGAAGGTCTCCCTTGGGCTCTTGGAAACAAAAGGAGTAGTTCCTTCATACAACTTTCTTGATAAGCCCACGTACTTCTTGGTAGTCTCAGCTCCTTCTTCCCCCCAAAACGTCCAGTACTGAATCAAAAATAGGTTTCCAGCTCTGTGAGGGAATGGTGTTTCCGACTCAGAAATCTCACTCATTCTTCCACCGTAAGGGTTCCATTGCATCCACACTTTCTCTATATTAAGTATAATCTTCCATATAGATTCTATTCCTTGTTTTGGAATTGGTTCTTTCACATAGTCAGACTTGACTTTGAAGAACGCTGCTGGCCCATTTGGCCTGTCAAGTAAAACGTCTATGGGGGTTCCAACTGGGAAGTCAGCCCAGAATATAGTCGATTCAAGCCAACTCATTTCAAAACAATCATTCCTTTGTAAACCCAATTCTGGGAACCTTGCATTCAGCAATTGAAGAAGATTGTCAGTTTGTCCCAAAAAGTGACCAATAAAAGACACTTCCACAGTCTTCGTTCCATTAGTAGTATTCTTTGTTGGTATTTGACAGTTTACTAACTCAATACCAAAATATGTGGGTGATAAGTTTACAAACTCTATCACACCTCTTTCACTTTGCACTCTCAAATAAAATTGGACAAAGAAAGAAATAGAGAAAGGAGGGAAGCAACAAGCTTTGATAAAACACTTGGACTTTGATATATGAAAAGAGAGTTTACAAACTCTATAGCTTACAAGCTTAAAATGAGAATGAGAAATGGGATTTTGATGGGATGATTTACAATGCTTGAGAACTTGGGTATTTATAGCAAACCAAATGATTAAACTAAGATTATTTATTACCACACAAAACACATTAATTGCACCTAATAATTTTTATTCAACCATACCTAACATTGCCAAACTTTCAATGCCTAACTTTGACATTGATTTTCAACAATGGCTAGTAGCACCCTTTTTTTGATTTGAATTTCCAACACACCTCCTCAAATCAAAACGCCTTCATTCCTAGCATTTCACGCAGTAGCCGGAATGTTTCAATTGGCAATGGCTTTGTGAAGATGTCTGCCACTTGTTCCTTGGTGTGACAGTAGACAAGTTCAATTGTCTTTTGCTTCACATGGTCCCTTAGAAAATGGAACCTGGTATCAATGTGCTTGCTCCTTCCATGTTGAACAGGATTCTTTGCAAGTTTGATTGCAGACACGTTATCTACATGAATCACAGTCGATTCCACTTGTGGATGACACACTGACTTCAACAGATTTCTTAACCAAATTGCCTCACACACGGTTGAGGCTACAGCAACATACTCGGCTTCACATGATGACAAAGCAACAATTGATTGCTTCTTTGAAGTCCATGAGAAAGCTGTTGATCCTAGAAAAAACACATAGCCAGTTGTGCTTTTCCTTTCATCTTGGTCACCTCCCCAATCACTATCTGAATAACCAAATAATTTTGCATCTTCACCAAAATTATAAAATAGACCATAGTTTAGAGTACCTCTTATGTACCTCAAAATTCTCTTGGCGGCCAGCCAATGAGACTCCCTTGGTGTTTCCATGTATCGACTCACGAGTCCAACACCATAAACTATATCAGGTCTTGTGATTGTAAGGTACCTTAGGCTTCCAACGAGGCTTTTGTACACTGTTGAGTTTACAAACTCACCCTCTCCTCCTTTGGACAGCTTCAATCCAGTTGCGACTGGGGTATTGACAGTGTTGCACTTGTCCATATTGAACTTCTTCAATATGTCTCTCATGTACCTTTGTTGAGAGATGTAGATACCATCACTTTCTTGCTTCACTTCTATGCCAAGAAAGTATGACATTAATCCATTGTCAGTCATCTCGAATTCACTGAACATGGATTGCTTGAACTCATGGAACATTGCCTCATTGTTTCCTGTAAACAATAAATCATCTACATAGAGACAAATAATTAAGAACTCCCCTTTTTCACCATTCTTCATGTAAACTGAATGCTCGTATGGACATTTCTGAAATCCATTTTGGTGAAGGTAGTTGTCGATCCTTGAGTTCCAAGCTCGTGGTGCTTGCTTGAGGCCGTACAAAGCCTTCTTCAAACGATACACCTTATCTTCTTCTCCTTGTACTTGGAAGCCTTCCGGTTGTTCCACGTACACTTCTTCCTCAAGTACTCCATTAAGGAAGGCTGACTTGACATCTAGTTGATAAATTTTCCATTTATGATGTGCGGCAAGAGAGATTAGCAATCTTACCGTGTCAAGTCTCGCAACTGGAGCATAGACTTCATCATAGTCCACTCCATACTTCTGTTTGTAGCCCTTTGCTACAAGCCTTGATTTGTATCGATCCACACTCCCATCTGCAGTGCGTTTGATCTTGTAAACCCACTTGACACCAATAGCCTTCTGATTTGGTGGGAGCTTTGTCAGCTCCCAAGTGTCATTCTTCTCGATGGCATGGATCTCTTCTTCCATGGCTTTCTTCCAACAATCTTCTTCCACAGCTTCATTGAATGAGAAAGGCTCGTGGTCTGCATACAAGCAGAAAAGGTTGGTTTCTTCTTCTTCTTCTTGTCCATAAATCTCTGTGAGGCTCCTTAACCTCACTGGAGTTGAGGAGCTGCTTTCCTCACTAGATGTAGGACCACTCCTTGCAATTCTGTGCACTGGAGTTGTTGTGATTGTTTGAGCAGGCTGTTGCTCAATCGGTGGTACAACTTCTGGTTCTTCAAAATCAGTGGAGACGATCTTCTCTTTACTGACTTCTTTGTTGTTCCACGTCCATGTCTCTTCCTCACTGAAGATGACATCTCTACTAACCACTAGTTTGCCAGTTAGTGGGTTGTAGAGCTTGTATGCCTTGGACTCTTCACTATAGCCCACAAACACACACTTCTCACCTCTATCATCAAGTTTCCTCCTCTTGGCTTCTGGAACTTGAGCATATGCAACACACCCAAAAATTCTTAGGTGTGTAACATTCGGCTTGTATCCACTCCAAGCCTCTTGTGGTGTCATCCTCTTGACACTCTTTGTTGGACATCGATTCAACAAATAAATCGAACAAGCTACAGCTTCTGCCCATAACTCTTTTGGCAAATTCTTCTCCTTAAGCATGGACCTTGTCATGTCAAGGATGGTTCGATTCTTTCTTTCGGCTATCCCATTTTGCTGTGGGGTATAGGCAGCAGTAAGTTGATGCCTAATTCCTTGCTCCTTGCAGTATGCTTGGAAAGCATTGGAGGTGTACTCTCCACCTCTATCTGATCTCACAGCCACAAGCTTGTGGTTACTTTCTGCCTCTGTGAGTGCCTTGAACTCCTTGAAAATTTTTAGGGCAGCTGACTTCTCCTTGAGAAAATAGACCCAAGTCTTTCTACTGAAATCATCAATGAAGGTAATAAAATACCTATTACCTCCATAAGACATGGGATCCAATGGACCACATATATCTGTGTGCACCAACTGCAGTGGTGCCTTTGCTCTCCAT